CAAAGTTACTGTCATAATCAGTTGCACAGATAACACGATTTCTATGTCCTGTGTTTTATTAAAATGCTATGGAGCGGGGAAGAGATGAGTATACAGCTAACTGATTCACAGATGGCTAGAAATTGGCTTTCTCAGCAGAGAGTATTAAAGAAGAAAATATTCTGGAGAAAATCCTCAGGGTATATGCTCAAAGCTGCAGATTATAGTCTCAAACATACACAGGAAGATTGGACTGGTTGAGGCAATAATGAGCTGAACTACTCACTACAGGTGTGGTCAACAGCAACAACAAAAAAATATCAGGTGGGGTTAAGTCATCCTGGAACTATACCTGTGAGTGAGTCCCCAAAGCGGGGAGGGGGAGAATCATATCTCTAAGCACTAAATCAATACATTTCCAATTTTTGCTGAAAATGAACCTTCCAAACAAGAGAGGGAAAAATATAGTGGAGAAATTATCTACTAAGAAAACACCAAACCCTAAGTGTTTCTAAACCCTCATCTCACTTTTCTGTATTCCCAAAAGAATCTCAACATCTTCACACATTCTTCATAGCATCCTTGTTGGCAGTCATCAGCCAGAAAGACTAAATGAAAGTTTTAAAAAAAAAAAAAAAAAAAAAAAAAATTTAAAAATTGCCACATGCACTGACAATATTCCAGAGAAAAGTGGGAGGAAACAATCACCCAGACACCTGTAAAGAAAACACAGAGTTTGTCTATTGATACTTTACCTACTGCCTCAGGAGGCAGATCAATGAAAAAACACTTGATTTTACAGCAAAAACTTTAATGAATCCTAAATATACCCAAGCAAGGTAAGAAGTTTCTTTGGGTAAACTGGTTGGGAGTTCAGATGGAGGGTCAGGAAGAAGGGTTTACTTCTCCACAGCCAGGTTTAAGACTGCACGTGTCCCAGCTAATTCTCAACCTAATGGCATGTTCAAGAAGGCTGTCTCCTTATCTAACCAGCCCTATCCCCTGATTATACCTACATGAGGTACAAAGGTAAATAAAGGCAGCAAAGTGCAGCTTTTCTGCTTCAAGATAAAGCTGTGAATATCTGTGCCAGAGCCAGATTGCTCCCAAGGCAGAAGTTCCACCAATATAAAACTAACTTAAAAAATAATTAAAAAAAAAAAATTAAAATCACAGTCTAAGTTTATATTTATGTTTTCATTTCCTTCTTTCATCTCGAAAAAGGATTCAATAACCATGTGTTTAATGGAACTGCCAGGGAAGAGTGGGACAAACATCTGCTCCGCTTTGGCATTTCAGTTTTGTGTAGAGTTTGAAGAGGGCTTTCCAGTCATTTGGTTTAGGTACCTATAGAAAAAAAATGCTTGTGAAAGTCTGTAGGCTCATGTATTTCCTGCCTCTAAATGTAAAACCTTAAAAATTATAGCAAAACTGTCAACCAGGAAAAGTCAAACAGGACAACAACCCAAACTTTCAAGAAACTTTCAAGAACTTAACACAAAGCCAAGAAAAAAAGTAAGAATTTGGCATAGAAGTAATGAATTGAAAGTTATTTTCAGTAATGTTCTCTTGCATGGAAGATCATTAAACTCACAGCTGATAGCTTCTTAACAAAAACAGAACTTTCTGTTCAGCATTAATGAGGCTTTATAGGTATTCAAGTCTACGAATTGAGGGCATCTGCAGTGAGCAACCTTTTACAGTTCCCTATTTTTAATATACATAGCATTCAGTAGACTTTATAACAGGAATAATGTTTAATTCCATCTCCCCCTCCCCGCCCCCTTTTTTTTTTTATATTTTCAACATGCATGAAATTTGGAAACGTTACGGCAGGACTGAGGACCGTTTTGAAGGCTAGGATAGGGTTGCATAATGCACCAGCCAATCTGCTCACTGTATTAGAAAACTGGAGAGTTACCTTAAGCATTTTTTTTATGATTCTGATTTAATTGTTCCTCATTTATATTCATCGCTGAAATCCACTGCATCTGAAGCTATTTTGAAAACACAGCATTCTCCCAAAGGGCCCAATCCAACTCCCATTCAAATAAACAGCCTTCAATGGAGCCTATTTGTTGCTAGCCAACAAGATTGAATTCTGCTGCAGAGTGGTCCCTGGAGCGTTTGTCACAGCTCTTTACAAATATTGCTCCAGTAAGAGCAGGTCTAAAACGCTTGTCCACATGCACCGCAGACAACTGAAATCTGTCTTTTATCTTCTTGAAACACTTGGTCAGATTTAAACTCCAAAAGCACAAAGTACCAAATCTATCAAGAATATAAAAAGTAAAAAAAGTAAAAAATGTTTAACAGTTATAAACAGTAAAGAGCTAAAGGGAAAGCAGAAAGATGATTAAAATATTTTCATGTGATAGGATCAAGTACCATTTATTCTACCTCTAAAATGAAGTTACACAGAAAAATGTTTGTGTGTAGATTATAATGACAATATACAACCAAACTTCTCAAAAAGCTTGTTTCAACACAGCCATGAACATCATAAGTTTTGAAATAGTAAGAAATTTAGCAACACATACAAAGCATACAAACACCACTCCAATAGTAAGTCTTGAAGGTTATGAGGAAAGACCCACCAAGTATCTGTTCACATAGGGTTACCAAAACAACAAACTTTTAAGACTGGTATTTCTTGATTATACCCTTACCATATGGAAGACCTTTATCTGTGAAAAGAACAATGTGATAGGCTTTGAGAAGAGGACAGGTTTTGCTGGTTTATGGTAAATATATAAATAAATGCCACAGTGTAACTTCTGCTCTGAGCTAAGTAGTGAATGATACAAATAAGAAAAACTTGATCAATGGAGGGACTCTCACTCTCAGATGCTTTATCCTACTTTGCAGTACAGAAATCCAGACTCTGGTTGATGAACTTATTTGTAGTTTAAAGTCTGAAACAGTGAACGATTAGGAGATTACTTAGATAGGAATTATATAATGTAACATTGCAAAAATTAAGACCTTTTTACAGGGAAGTATTTTACTTTGAAATTAAGAACCTGATTTGGTGTTATACAGTATTGATGTGGTTCTTGAAAATAGTCTACTTGGAAAGCACAGATCTTGGGAGATGCTCTCAATATCTGTCAGAGTTCAGAAACAGAATAAAATGTGATTTATAATACAAGTTCAATATCTCCATAAGTAACACACACAAAAAAAAGATAATTTTTTTAAAAAAGTTGGCCACCTTAATATCCCAAGATATCCAGTGATTTCAGTGGGGTAATTTACAGGATCACTCCAGGCTTTGAGAGATGGCAGAATAGAGAATGAACTCCTAATTTCCACCTCCACCTCAAATACCCACTGGAGCACCACAAAAAGACGGGGCTTGAAACCGAGCTCAACCAAAGCACTTTCTACACTTCACTCTGAGATGACTCTGTCCAGACAGTGCTCCATACTCAAGCCCAACAAAAGTCCTCGGTATCAGAGACTTACAACAACAGTAGGGATGCACAGAAAACCAGGGAGGTTACCTCTGAGTTCCTTGTTGTAGGTTCAGAGTCACATAAGTCACAATGGCAGGAACACATCTTCAACCATGTAACACATACACACCAAACACTGTTGGGACTGACAGGATTGCTCATCAACACAAATAGATTTAAGTATGTATGTATGTATACAGACAACTATATGTATATATACACTCAGGTGTCTGTATATATACACACACATACACACTCTCTCCCTATCTGTGTTTATATATATATATATATATATGACATGGACATACACTAAATCAATTCATCAATTGCACTGAATTGCCAAATACCATACCGACCATTAAAAAAGGAAAGTTGGGCACAAAAGATTTCAGATTTAAAACCGAGCTAGCTAACTTCCTCCAGGTTAAAAAATAAACCACGTGAAAGTAGGTGTACAACGCAAGTTATGCTCAGCGCCAACACCATGCTTTATCCGACAGCCGTCCCATGCAGCCGCACATCGGCAGCCACGAGCACCCCCAGCAGCAGCACCTGCAGAGCAGAACCGGCCAGAAACACGCTTTGTTCGCCCTGGAGGCTTTTGCTTCTGAGAAAATACTTACACTCAGAAGTGTGGACCAAAGTAGATTCCCATGCAGCTGCTGAACTGATAAAATGACAAAATTAAAGAGACTGGTTGCCAAAGGCACCAGAGCTGTCTAAAATGTACGTATCTCGTTCTACCTTAGCATGTCTGCTGTCAAGGTGAATAAAGAACTCCTGATACACGTGAAGAGAGCTCCTGAACGTGAGCCCATCAAGGAGGCCCCTTTACTCTTTCCCATCGCACTTCTGAGATTCAGGACCACTGGGAAGTCAGAGCTGTGACCAGCCTTTCCAGGTGAGCACAACTGGGCGTCCTCACTCCAGCCGGACCTTAGCCACCAACGCAAAGCCAAAGCCCACCCGAAACGTGTTTAGATAAACGGTGTTACTTCACGCGCAGTGTCACCTACTTCTGCTGCTGAAATAACGAAAAGCACTTTTAGTTTTAGGGACAGGGAGGCTTTCAGAGCTGGCGCTTCAGGTCACGCTTTGGTCGGTTCAGCCCTGACCCGGCAGAGGGGCTGACCGGGGCCGCAGCGCCGCTACCAGACCTTTGCCCCGACCCCGACGGAGCGAGGGCCGCTTGTTCTGTTTAGTTCCACCGCTAAAACCACAGCAGGGCTTCGGGCTTAACGCATCCTTCAGGCGACCAAACCTGAGCAGCAGCAGCCCGAGCTCCGCCAAGGCGGAAAGCGAAAAGTCTGCCTCCAGCTGCGAGCAACCGGCGCGTACAGGGGGAGGCTGCGAACGGGGGCGGGGGGGGTCCCCGCCGGCCGCGGGGTGAAAGGCGGCTTCAGGGGGGTGCAAAGCGGCGGTTGAGGGGACGGGGAGCAAGGGCGGCTTCTGAGGAGAGGCTCCCCAGAGCGCCAGGTGCGCGGCCCACCGCCCTCCCTCGGCGCCTGGGCCGACGAGCGGCGCCGGCGCGGGATGCGGCGGCCCGGGGCCGGGCTCACTCACCGGGAAGCTGCCCCGTAAGCGGGCGGATCTCAGGGCCAGGTCCCGCAGCACAACCCCCGCCTGTCCAGCCAGGGGAGCCGCCATCTTAGCCGCGCCGCGTACCCTCCCGGCGGCCGCTGTCTCCGCCCTGCCCCGCTCCCCGGGCGGAAGCTCGGCGCGGTCCCGCGGCGCCCACCCCTGCGGAGGGGAGGAGAGGGGACGGCCGTACCGACCGGGGCGGCCCTCGCCGCGGGGCTGCCGGCCTCGGGACAGGCCGTGAGGGGCTGAGAGGGGTGGGGTGCCGTGTGGGGGCGCGGGGAGGACATCTTGGGGCAGGCTGTGGGGGAAAGGCGCGTTAGGGGGGTAACCCCGCCGAGCGCGGCTGCGTGCGGGACCGGGAGGGCCGGCGTGGGTGATTAGAGCAAGGAGGGGCTTTGTGGGGAAGGCGGGGGCTGGGAACGGTGGGAGCAAGCGTGTGCGGAGGGGCTGGGTAGTGTGCGGTGACAGCCTGGGACTGCAGGTCGTTGCCTGCTAGAGGTATTGCCCTGACTGGTTTGCCGCCTTTTTTTTTTTCATGACTAAAAGCAGTTGTTTGTTTGTTTTTCTAATAGGAAATATTAAGTTAATCTAAGCGAATAAGCCCTAATAAGGCCTGCTGGGATCCAGCTGACTCCTCATAGGCACTTTAAATCTGAACTCCACAAAATGCCTCTGTTCGTTCTTCATCCACAGGTAAAACCTGTTAGTTAACACCCAAACCGAGACACTGAATTCAGGCCCAGCTGGGGGACAGTACCTAAAACCAGAGCCCTGATAGCTCATGACTTATCACATGGGTATAAAATCTAGCATATGAGTTACTAGTGTGAGCTGTGGTTTCATGAAAGTGAGTCCCAGAAGCCAGATTTGTGAAAATACCTCATTCCATCCATCAGGAATGACTTAGGGGCTGGTGTGGACACAGGTGCAGCATGTCTACAATCTGAAGCAAGCTCAAAAGTCAAATGGCCTGGTCTTTGCAGATACAGTCTGTATGTGAGCCCACTGAGCATTTCAGTTTCTGATTAATGCACACTGTGGATAATCCACCTATGAGTAATGGAGACTTGACTTGAAATGGTTCACACAAATTACCAATTAACGATGATGGTTTGAAAAAACAAAATGAGCAGCAGATGAGATACCCTTGCAATTTTACAAGAGTTCATATTAAATTCACCTATATTGAAGCATGCAGACTTTAGCAGCCTATGCAGGCATTAGTTATGCTGCACATTATTTATTCAGTGGTTTATGATGAAATAGTTGGATAAACAAAACAGTCAAATCCCAATCTTGTAGTCCGGGATGTAAGTGGGAACAAAGGAGAATGCTCCTGTCAGTGCTTAGAACTTTCACTCCTAAACGTGTTTTTAAAAAAATCAGGACTGAACAACTCCTTTATTGGAATTTAATCAGCAAATAAATTATACTTCTATTAGAAAAAAATCTGCAATTTCATAAAAACTGAGGTGCTAGAAAAATCTGAAATTGAACAGTTTTATCTTTGTCATGACAATTTAAGTAATGTAATATGTTTCAATAAAGAATCTGAAGATGCAGCTTTTTGATGGCGCTGAGCAATAATGTATGGTACCCAGTATTAACCTAGGTATTACTGTGCGCTTATTCTTTCAGAATATTATAGACGGACTTTGGTATTGTGATGGAGGAAATATAATTTTATTTTTAGTTTTGTGACTGTGGTTCAGTAAGCACAGTGTTTCCTATTCATACAAACTATTATGGCTGTCTGCATTAGGTTTATATATATAACAGGTATATAAGCTTTCAGATAATGTGTGTGGATTGCATGCAACGCTACCATTTAATGCTATGAGGAGCACTTTCACTGCATAATATAAATAGTGCAGAACCTTCTTTACTATATTTTTTATTGTTTAGATTTAGTAAATGGAAAAACACTGTGCAAACACACAGTCGGGGTTAGTCACCAAGACATGATTTTTTTTATCTCTAGGGTAGAAGATACCTGATCTTTAAAGTATGAGGAGAAAAGGTATAGAGCTTCATTGTCTTCACATTCAGTTTCCTTCTATGTATGTGTAAACCAAAGAAAATTTAGATCAAACAGGTCTCTGAAGCAATTAGCAGAGCAAGCAAGAGCCAGCTTTCTTGGAGTATGGAGTACAAGGAAGGATGTGTGTGTGGGTGTGTGAGAGAAGAGGTACACATTATTCATTATTGTTAGGAAACTCACTTGCGGTGCAGGAATTTGGGAACAGCCAAGGAGTAGTCCCAACACACTGTCCTCACAAATAAGGAGGGAAGGGGAGCGAACTAAAAAAAACGGGTAGAGAGGATGATTTCAAAGGACGTTCCTTTTAGGCTTCCAAACATTTGTCCCTGTACCTCTCATGGGTATGCAGCACTTGAGGGTGCTGCCTCTCTCATATCTTCCTCAGGATGCATAAAAAGCTAGATTGCAGCTAAGCTTTTTAGCAGTGGTCTACTTAACAACCACTAACGTTTTTGCAATTAGGTTTGAAAAAACAACGCATAAGGCATAACTCTTAAGAACTTATCCTTAAGCCTAAATAGTTGACAGCATTCAAGTGAAAACATTTAAAAACCAAAAAAGTTACCTTATCACAGGTAAAGCATAATTTTAAGTGTTTTTGCATTTCCTCTTCATTGCAGCATTTTCTCATCCACACAGATTACCTCCCAAACCATTATTTGCTGAAGATGGATGTCACACCTAGCACATGGATGGTGTATCCAGCCATTCAGAAAGGTTGTTTATCGTTAACTTTTCATTTAACCATAAAACCATTTGACAAATACAAACTCATTATAGCTAGCAGAGCTGAATGGAGGGGTTTTTGCTTAATTTTTCCTGAGTAACATATCTGAGCTCATGCTGATACATGTCAGGAATAAAACCATTATTACAGCAATGAAGCAGGGAGCAGCTATGTTTTCATGGATAGGATACTCTTCTAACTTAGGCTGAAATAGAATTGGGCCAAATACATCTTTTCTTATTCACAGGATTAGTCTTACAACTTCAATAGAGTACCTGCGAGTCAGGTAAGCCCTCACACTTTCACTTTTGCTCGCTGATAATATGGCTGCTCTAGTCTGTTTTTGATGGGTTGTAGCCTCGTTTTTCAGAAAGCTAAACAGTGGACTGAAAGACATTTCATCATGTGCATATTACTTTGTAATTATTATTGTGTCAACTATAGAGCTTGAGCTTCATATCCACATACATTTCCTAGAAACAATCCGTATGTGAAAGATACACTACACACAGCATCCCCAACAATAATGCAAGAGGGTAGTAAAACTGCAACAAACTCACTAAAATAGTCCCACCAATAGGTGACTGAAGAATGGGAAACAAGATCATAGACTGAGTCTTACAGTGTCACTACAGAGTATGACTCCTGATGCGCAAGTCCCTCTCAGTCTATGATACTGTCCCTGTCCTTTGCTGTTCCTCATTCTTTTTCTCTGGTCATGTTTGATTGTCTCCAAACATAAAATCAAAAAGGAAAATTTATGGTGAGTGGTAAATATAGCAATGAGTGGAGGAAGGGTAATGAAAGATTGAAATTGAATTAACAATGTTCAAGTCTAGAAAACAAAAGAAGGATGAAAATAAAGAATGAAAAATAGCCTATTAGAATTGTAAATAACCTCCTAGGTCACTGAGTTCAGTCATTGTATACAGCCACAAAATTTCCATTCATTAAAAAATTACTTTAATATAATGGGAGGGATCCTGGAAACAAGCAAGATAGGGTGGTTTTTGGCTAGGTAGGATTGAATTTTCGGTTGCACTGTCTTCAGTAACTATATGAGCTCTGTCTATTGCTGCATCGTCGATCTATGTAAACATCAGTTTGCCTTTTTCATTTTCAAATTGTATGCACCTCTGCTGTACGTAGTGGAACTTATATGTGGCTAGGAGCAAAAGAATAAAATGAAGCCTTAAAATGGTCTTTGCATCTTCTGTTTGATACTGTGGGAAGCCAGGGTGCCGCATTTTAACAGTGTGTGATAACTTTGACATGTAGTTAAAGCTAGAAATGGAAAAGAAGTGCCTAAAACAGGGAAGACTTTAAATAATAACAAGTAAGAATAAAGAAAAAAAGTAGTGAAGCAACTGACTTTAAAAAGATTTATAGCAAGAGAGGCAATACCAGGGGGAGCAATAGTAACAGTAATGCTCCACCTTTTTGATATCTAACCATTTGACTCCGTGTAAAAAGGAAACGTTCAGGAATTATGACATAAATTAATTGACTGAAAACAGTAGAAGTGATGCATCAATTTACAAGAGATGTACTGCTACCTTTTGCCAGCGGCCTACTGTATAATAAGGCAGACAGGGGAGTTCAGGTTCCTCGGCAGAGATAGACTGTAGGTCTATAACACTCAGTTCCAACAACATTGAGAACCCTGATATTGTGGGTAGAAAGACAATTTTATTGAACTTCTGTCAGAGACAATATAGGACTGTGAATACAAAAAGTGTAAAGATCTGAGCTGTGGGATACAGTGGAAGAAAACAACCTCTCGGAGGCTGGACCTCTTTGATAAGATGTGACTATATCCCTACAGACTTTGAAGCCTTTAAAAAGTATAGACAATCTACATTCAGGAAAGAAACGTCTAACAGTCTGGAAAAAAAAAAGGTAAAGAGTTACTTGGGGGAAAGGAATGGATGTTAGAATAGCAGCAAAACAGTGATGTAATGAAAAGGCAGGCTCTGTCGTGTGTACGCTAAGCAATTCAGTCTATTATGCAGGCAAACATTCTGAAAAGAAACACTGATTTATTAAATATGAAGCAGAATCTTGGCTAGATCAATAATATTCTGTACATTGTATTTAAAAACATATTTATCAGCAAGCCATTATATTTAAAAACATATTTAACAGCAAGCTGTCTAGAGTGTAAAGGAAAGTTCACAGATGAAGAGATTGCCCAGACAGTCCAATGTGGAACATCCATACCCAAGGGCACATGCTTACTGATAGGAATCTGTGAACTCTGTGTGTGCCACGCAGTAAAGCTCTTTAACTATCTCACAG